ATTATCATACTATATAAAATATATTTTATTTATTTTTTACAATTTCTTTCTCGCTATCCAATTAGCGACCTCCTTCTCTCACTGCATTAAAATGAATTTAAAATTTAAAAATAAAAATGAAAGAATTAAAATGAATTTAAAATAAAAGGTTTAAGTTTTAATTATATATTATGAAAATTTAATATTTTAAAATTAAAATTAAAATTGAAATTATAATTTTTATATTTTTATATTTTAAAAATAAAAAATAAAAAAATAAAAATTAATGTTTAAATTATAAATATTTTAATTTAAAAGTTAAATATTTTAATAAATAGTATTTTTATCATTTATCACTTATTTCTTAGTTATTGTTATAAATTGTTAAAGTTGCAAGTCTTATGCAATCTTGGAAGTGAATAAAGATAGACCTCCTACATTGGAAGACCCTATACACCTTAGAAACTTTTAATTTTGGAGTCATTCTAAACACTTACAAGATAGTTACAAATTTTCTAATCCCCTCCCAACACTTACAAGACATTTACAAATGTTTCAATCCCCCCCAGAATATTAAAGTGCTTTAAATTGTAGCTAGAAGTTTCAAATTTCATAATTATAAATTTAAAATTTTGAAATTTACCCGACAAAATTCAATTTAGCAAAGGAAAGTAAATACATAAAAGAAAAATCTTGTGAATATATCATGAAAGAAAACATATTGAAAATAAAAAGGTTCAAAAGTATCCTCAAAATCCTTGTACTATGTAATTTTTGTTAGTTTAATCTCTTTATCTCAAAATTGGTTAATATTTTATATAATCGAATTCCTCTTCTAAAATCGTCCAATTTTTCCCTTGGTAGGAGCACAACATATCATAATAAATATAAATAGATATTACATAATTTATTGATGTGATATAATAATATAATTATATTATGTTTTTCACTCTTCACATATACATCACATTAACATGAAAATATAAAATGTCATTATAATTAATGAACCATTAATTATAAAAATTTATTTATCTCAAAATAAAAATATAAAGATATATTTAAAAATAAAAACTTATTTCAATTTTATTTTTGAGTATTATGCCCATAATTTATTATGGTCCACAAAAGTAAACAATGTGACATTGCTTCTTGATCATGGCAAAAACAAATTATGAGTATTCTAGAACAAAAAGAAACAATTTATGATTATTCTTCAAATGAAAAAACCCAAGGGAAGAAAATCCATATTACACATGATCACAATACATGCTAAATGAAAAAATTGTATCATTTTCTCTCCCATAACTTAACAAATACACTGCTCTCATCCACTGGAAAGGGTACTTCATAATCTCTTACCATCGGTACACTGTATCAATAGCTCACCTTCGATTTCATTATCTACTAGGTAAAGATGACACTGATTACTTATTTAGCCAGGGAAACACATTGGGAGATGAAGGTAGCCGAGCTGTAAGAACTTCGACTCCAGTTTCTGTAACCTGCATGATAATATTCATCAAGCAAAAAACATTCAAGTGTTAGGTGTGTCAGGATTCTCTTCTTATATAACACAAATTTGATCACAGCCATGCACTATATATCACCAGATCTTTTGCTACTGATACTAATGAATGAGTTCAAATATAACAGATCACTGCAAGACAATCCAAAGTGTTGCACTGGCAAATGGCTAACTCAGGAGCAAAAAGGTCATATTCCAGACGTTTCTCTAAGAGACAACTTCAATACACGACTATATGCAGAGATCTCATGAAAGAAAAAGCACTGGTAACGCAGAGTTACCAAAAGAGTGTGCTC